TCAACATTTGATGACATTTCTGGAGGCAGAAATCCAGGGTCAATGACTGGATTCGAATTGAATCAACCGAGGTATTCAAAGGTAGGAAGACCCTATACCAAGCATGATTTTCCACAGCAAGCCAAAATAGTTTTTACTCAACCAGCCAAAAAAAAAGGCTTTGCAACTCCATCTAACTGCAAAAGACGAAAGTTGAAGGATGTGGGATTTTCTCCCCATTGGCGATAAAGGCGTTATTTCATCCTTTGCAGTGATGGAAAAGTTTGCAAAAAATCACTATGACTCACGATTTTTTCCCTTGGTGAACTTCGTGAAATATCGCGAACTTTTCCAACACTGATCCTATGCATGTCACTTCACTTGTGAATAGCCTCGAAAAGCGTTAACAAGTCGATGCAGTATATGTCGACTTCTCTAGATCATTGGACAAAGTTCCACATACATTGACTGTGGAAAAACTCAAATGCATGGGATTCCCGGTATTTTCTAACAGCGCCGGTGGTGTATTGGTAAGCGTGATTACCTCTCACCCCAGCAGGCCTGGGTTCAATCCCAGTCGGCGCCGCCGGGATGTTCTGAGGCATAACATCTCTGATCACGCCTTCCTTCGGATGGGAAGTAAAGCCGTTGGTCTTCGGTTCATGAGTTGATGGATCGATAGGTAGGGTCCAGGTGTGGGAGCTGCCTTCCTGGCACGTCGGTAGCATTGGTGCTCAGCACGGAAAACAAGATCGACGGAAAAAAACAAACCAAAGGGATTCCCGGTATGGCTCGAATCTTGTCTACCTGTACATACACACTATGAAAAATTCATGTAAATTTAGGTGCTCTGAGACTGACATATACGAGCGTCAATTTTGACATAAAATTGAGTCATAATAGACGCGAAATTCAGCTCAATCAAACGTACTTTTCGTCGAGTAAAAAACATTTCAGTCTTGGAGCACTTAATTTTACATGGCATATTTGTTTACGTCTCATCCTTTATGTGGAAGATGGATTCCGTCACGTGTAAAATTAGGTATTTCTAAGTGTGTAGAGCTTTTATGCGGCTTGGAGGAACCTCCTCTGAACATTTCTATACAGAGCTGGAAAAGGGGCCTATCTGCTTTGATCGATTCTCTTCACCGACTTTCTCTTTTGATAACCACGGCTATGCAAACAGTTTTCGTGCTAATTTTGCCACATAGCATGATAAAGGAGGTTTGAGGCCGCGGTAAAAAGTTGACGTGTTTTGTTTTTGCAGCTGTAGTTTTTCGAATGAAGTTTTATGATTTATGCAATTTTCAAACGCGAGTGATGATTTTAATAGTGTTTTTAAGTGTTCGTGATTCAGACAAAAATCCGGAACCGATTCGCGGGCAAAACGGGTACCTCTAGAGTGCTTGAAAAACCTGGGTGAAGTGCATTAGAAGAAGAGTGAAAATAGCGCATAGGGTAGAGCGCTACTTCGTCGTAATCGCCCATTTCCGTTCTATCGATCAGAAAAGATCAATAATATCAATGATTTCACCGTGCACAAATCAATAATAGGTTTGTTCCGATGCGCTAGTTCATTAGCTACAACATAAACCCTGTTAGAGCGCATTGTATGAATATTTACGCTCATTGTTCTCAAAACAAAAGAAGCGCTCCTAGCGAATCCCCTTTTTCTACGTTTATCCGTAGGACGAAGAAAATCTAATGGCGTTTCAATGCGTTAGGACGGAATTGAAACTCGTAGAACGAATTTAGAATCAAGAAGCAGTGTTAGATTTTAGACAATATCTCATCAATTTGTGATTCTTTATCAAATCAAACGGTACGTATGGAAAGGTGAATAAATTTGCAAGTCATCTTTGACAGAAATATTCCATTTTTTGTTTAAATTCGTTCAGAAAAGAGAGGTAAAGCGCGGGTTGTGCTTAGTAGGACGGAAATTAGATCAAAAACCCTACTTGCAAAGAATGAGAGAAGGAAGTTTGGTGACGGCTTTGGATAATATTGAGCAACTGGTGGAGTCTGGTGAGACTTTTCCATTTGGATTTCTATACAATTTTTAAAACAATTTTGATGAACTGAAATCGAATACGGGGATTCAAGAAGAGATACGAAAAACATCGAAAAGTGATAGAGAAAGAGAGAGAAGAGTATTCCACTACAGATGCCGATTGTTCAACAGGAATTAAACGAAAATCGAGATGACAAAGATTCAGCAGCAAGGACACAATACATAAGCGGTGAGATCTAACTGATTACAACTAGATATAAAAATATGAAATGCATCCTACTAAATACGTGCCATCTACAAAGCAGGAATTGATTTGATGATGGAAGTGTACACGCAGTACCAAAATACATTTTATATCGGTACTACGTGTATGTGGGGCTTGTTGTAAGTGAAAGTAACCTCGGAATGGACGTGAGTGACCAGGCATTCTGAAATGGGTTACTGAATCTCAACAGAGCTATCACCTTTCAACTTCCGGACTAAAAGTGTTTGCAATGGGACCAGTATAAGATAATAATATATTATATTGCAAACATTTTTCTTCCATAAAAACACTGCCGGACAGTGGAAGTTGGATTGTACACAGATAAAAATTCTGAATTTTTAAAATAATTTAAAATAATTATCGATACATTCCGTTTAACTAAAACACGCTACGATTCAAAGTAAAAAAGAACTCAATTTTCAGTTAATAGTACTCAACCGTTATGTTTTCACCATTGGGTACTTTTAACTTAATTTTGGATGAAAATCATAGCAACCTGCACTGTCATCGACGCTGTCATTTGTTTGTGCTCCATCGCCTCCGTTTCTGCTCAATTAGTCCTCGCATTAGTCTTCGTTAGTGTTTGGTACATATCCCGCATAAACATAAGATACGCCTAACCACCAATTCAGGATATCATCCCAACTCTATGCGGTATGATCGTACCATCTATGATATCGTTTGTGTATGGTATCCGTAGGTGGTACACAGTTCGAAAAGTAGTGTAAATTTCTGTTCAATATGATGCACACAAATGGAGCGTCATATATCATATAAGTTTACATTATATATCATGTAAAGTTCTAGCACAATTCATGCAATGTAGCAAATATTGTATACAAAAGCCCATCTTTGTAAACAACATTGTTTACAAGTTGCTCGGTTGTGTGAAATCAAATTTAAGTTTACGTGAATGAATGTTTACATCACAATTAAAATTCAGAATTTTTATCTGTGTAGTGATAAAAAAAAGTTGCAACGAAATCCGGTTGGATGCTTGGTGGGATGGTTGGCTATTTTTCACCTATTCCATTCGATTGATCGTTAGGTAATTTTTACTCGATGGATTCTTCATCAGGATTACTCAAAATTGAGTTTTCTTGTTTAACTTAATTTTACCTACACAGATAAAAATTCTGAATTTTAATTGTGATGTAAACATTCATTCACGTAAACTTAAATTTGATTTCACACAACCGAGCAACTTGTAAACAATGTTGTTTACAAAGATGGGCTTTTGTATACAATATTTGCTACATTGCATGAATTGTGCTAGAACTTTACATGATATATAATGTAAACTTATATGATATATGACGCTCCATTTGTGTGCATCATATTGAACAGAAATTTACACTACTTTTCGAACTGTGTAGCCCCACTGAAGCCACGTGTTGAGTGAAAGGAACTTAATTTTGGGTACTTTTTTCTTACCGTGCGGAGTCCACCAAGGGAGTCATTACTTTTCGTGCTATTTGTGAACGATCTTTGCCAACTCATCAAATCACCGAAGTACATATATCAAGACCAACAATTGAAATGGCCTTAACTCCATTTTGTAAACAAACCTTGTAAGGCCATTTTCTCGCGAACCGAAACCTTCATTCGCAAACCTAAACCACAATCGGGTAGAGGAGAGTTTCCCCTACCTGATAATTATGTTGGTTTGCCTTTGCGGACTTTGGTTCGCGAGAAAATGGCCTTACAAGGTTTGTTTAAAAAATGGAGTTAAGGCCATTTCAATTGTTGGTCTTTATATGTTCGCTGATTACCATACATTTTTCCGTGAAATAACGGAAATATCACGGATTGCTGTGTCCTCCAATTGGATATTGACGCTCTTCTTGGATGGTGCTCATTGAACGAAATGAAAGTGAATGTTCATAAATGTAACGTTATTTCATTTAACCGATTAAGGACTACTGCTATCATCGATTATAAAATGAATGCTTTAAAAGTCAGCCGAGTGTCATCAATCAAGGATCTTGGAGTAATTCTTGACAGTAAACTGAAATTTACCGAGCATGTAGCAGCAAGTACCGCCAAAGCCTACGCGATACTGGGATTCATCAAACGCAACACGCAACACGCAACACGCAACAGTTTGATGATGTCTATTGCCTAAAAACATTGTATTGCTCTCTGGTGCGAAACATATTGGAATATGGCGTTCTAGTAAGGGCACCGTATCATGTCACGCTTTGCTTTCATATTGAAAAGATTCAGCGAAACTTTGCAACATACGCTATACGACTGCTACCCTGGAACAGCGCTGTCGTCCTTCCGCCTTACGAAGACCGCTGAGAACTGATTGCTCTTTCCACATTGGTGGATAGGCGGATACTTCTGCAACGATTGTTTATATTCGACATTCTGAGCAACAATGTTGATTGTGCTGAACTTCTTGGACAGCTTAATTTCAATGATCCTGTTAGACATATGCGTCAAAATGATCTTCTCCCTATCTGTCAACATCGTACACTCTACGGACAATATATTCCACTTGATGTTTGCTGTCAACGTTTCAACGAGTCACGTGACAGTTATGATTGTAATATTTCGAAAAACGTTTTTTAAAAATAGGATTAGCAATAGTTTAAGGAATGAAGCTGTCTGTACGTTTTATATACGAAGACAAGTAAATAATAAATAAATAAATTTTAACTAATACTCGACTCACCAATATTGAAACAAAGTAAGCAATGGATTGTGGATTCACAAAAAAATTGTATCAACGCTTTTCCGCTTTTGTTTACAACAACTTTATTTGTCCTCCCTCCTAAAGTTTTAACTTTTCTACTGCATTCATAAGAACAAGTTGAATAACATTACTCACAATAAATATCATTTTGCTTTGTTTATATTTTATTTTCCTCCAGTGTAGCATTCCTATTCATTGAATAAATTTCGCCTCTTTCTTTTGCGTTTTTTTTTCTGAAAATATATCCATGCGCCGCTCCGCTGGTTGGCTTTTCTGCAAATATCTCTTTTCCGGAGAGTAGCATTTCTACTCCCCTCTCCTAGTCCGTTTGGTTGCTTTTACGATTCAACACTGTGTGTGTATGTGTGTGTGTGTTGATTAAGCTCTTCGCGGATGTCATTTCTTACTTTTAAACTACATTGAGCTTGGTTGGTATATGGCTAGCTTGTTTTGCATTAACTGTTGCGTCATCAAAATTATTGAAAATAAATTTCAGTTCACTCAACAAATTTAACTTCACGAGTTCTATGAATCATTGTAAAAATTGTAAAATTAAAGGCAAAATTAACTGTATTCTATTGAAGGTCTGAGACAGACTTTTTATTTCTTTCGTTCGTATGTGTATTTTCGTCTTGAGAAATGTGGATAAAGGATTCGCGTTCGAGTGACAGAAATGGAGCTTTATTTGCGGTCTTTTATGTTGGTGTAATTCAAAACGTTTTGAGTTATGTCTTCTGATCACAAGAACTATGTATTTCGGGTCATGGTTCTAATCATATTTTTTTCTGTTTTCGTCTTTCTGCTCTACAAACATCGATGGGAAACTTTTCTTCACTAGGTGACATATATTTGCGTTCTTCTTCCAGGAAAGCAGAGATAGCAATAAGTTGAATTCGCTACGTAGATAAAGAGCACGATCTGCCTATCGAATCGTTGAATGGTGAAACTGGCGCGTTAGAAAGATGTTGCTTTGAAGTACATTGCATTCGTCGAAAAATATTGTCTTTCAAATCTTTTGTATTCCTGTGTGCAGCAGCTGATGGTTGCACTTCGGATTACTGTTCCTTCCTCAGTGTTCCACGACCTTTCCATGCCTTGATCAGGTTCCAGGCGAAGAACAGTGAGAAGAAATGCACCTGCAGCGCCAGCAGGACAAATCCGTACCACAGCAGTCCGTATGGATAACCCTAGATGTGCGAGAAAGCAAGTATAACAAAACACACACACACAAACACCAAAGCAACAGTGTGCAAGGATTATAAGAGCAAAGTTTCATCGATCGATTAGTGGGATCTTGAGCGTCACTACGTAAGCTGCAAATTGGTACTAACAATTACCTGCCAGACGAAGATGTCGGTATCTTCCAGTTCGGTGCCTTCCTCCAAGCTGATGTACTCCAGCACATCGTTCATGTAGTAGATGAGGCAGTATAGAAGCGGAACAAAGGCAACTGTGCTTATACCGACCATATACTTCTTCATGTCGTTTATCCGATTGCGGCGAGCCGCGGAGAGTCCCACGAAGGATAGGAAAACCGACAGGCACCAGAAGTACTCCCACCAGAGTGGCTGTGGGATCTGAAGCTCTTCTATTTCCAGGATGAAAATGTCCAGGCGATCCAGGATGTCGGCGGACAATTTGAGTAACATCACGAAGAACAGTAGGTAGTGAAAGAAAATGCAGTATTTTAACCGGGCCTTGTTGAGTGCGCTGTAAAGGAAAGGGTCCGTTGTTTATTTGAAGGTATGTGGAATATGCAATGGCACAGTTATCAAGCCTAGCTGGCGCCGGTGGTGTAGTGGTAAGCGTAACTTTGAGAAACCCCAATGGGTCTGGGTTCAATCCCAGCAGAGGTCGGTGGGATTTTTCTGAGGCATGAAAATCTCTGGTCATGTCTTCCTTCGGAAGGGAAGTAAAGTCGTTGGTCCCAGCTCATGTGTGGTTGAATGGGTGCGATATCCTACGAAGCTGCCTTTCTGCACATTCGAGGGCCGTCAATGGATGGCAATCGATGCCGTCGGTGATTAGCACTAGATTGCGGAACAGAGACCGACGATAAATAATAAAGGATTGAAGCTATTAAGCTTCTAAAATCAGAGCAAAATGGTGAATTGTTAGAAGGACCAGTTTAAAAAAAAGTTGGGTTTCCCACAGTAATTTACAAATACACTTCAAATGGTTTGTGCAAATTTCAGTTTTCGATCAAATGAGCTGTACACAATGAATCTTAAGTTTATGAATTTGGACAGGGATGCTCGCGTTCAGAATCACAAAATTGCTAAAATTTCTTCTTTTTCGCAGTATATCGTATGATATTTAGATAAGAAGGTCAGTGGTGGTCATATTTAGTGTCCCCAGGAGCACAAAAGCCACATCTTGACAAGGTCCGGGTACCTCCGATTTTTAACTTTGGCTAAAACCCCTCATGCGTTTAATCAAATCACATGAGAAACCAAATTTTTGAGAGTTCGTAACATGCATATTGCCGGTATAACTGAAACGTTCCTTAAACCTGATCATAAGTATAAAAGGGACGTAAACTATTTCATTTATCGAAATGACCGTCTTGATGGAGCCGGTGTTAGCGTTGCCATCATTGTATCATAGACGCATCAAACATCAAATTATTTCTTCATTTGAAACCAACGTTTTTGAAACTTTGGGAATTTCTGTCGAAACCAAATTTGGACAACTATCGTTTATAGATGTCTATTTGCCATTCCAATGCGTAGAACAGCAAAGAATATTCTCAAGGGTGACCTTCAGAAACTTACCCGTCATAGGTCTAAATTCTTCATTATTGGTGATTTTAATGCAAAACACCGCTTATGGAATAATACTCAAAGAATGCTGTTTCATGATTGTTCTGCAGGTTATTACACTATTCAATATCCAAACAGCCCAACATGATTTTCTTCTGCAAGAAATCCCTCAACTATTGATTTGGTCTTAACTGGTACATTCCAACTTCGGTTCTGATCACCTTCCAGTAACTTTTGAAATATCCCAAGAAAATAATTTATAATCCCCACTGCTCTACTTTCAAATACCATAGAGCTGATTAGGAGCAATATCGAACATTTATGGAACATAACTGCGATCCAAATATTCCTTTGCAAATCAAAGATGATGTTAATTATGCTCTTGAATCACTGACTACTTCTGTCTGCCTCAGTACCAAAATTCGAAGTTAATTTCGATTCAATTATAATGGACGACAATCTTTAGCTCTTGATCCGTTTGAAAAATTTCCGTAGGTGATAATAGCAGAGAACACGCGATCCTGTCATTACAATTATCGGGCGAGATTTGCAAAAACAAATTAAAAAGCGATTCTCTGCTCTGAGAAACAAAATTTTTGAAAATAATATTTCGAAATTGGACCCGAGTTTCAAACCCTTTTGGGAGCTCACAAATATTTTAAAAAAACTCAAAAGTTTATTCCAGCGCTTAGAGAAGGGGGTAAAATTTTGAAAACAAATTCAGAAACTTGCTAAGTAATTCGAGAGTTACCATAATTTCAGTTTAGGTCTTACTAATCGTATTGAGAATCAGGTTGCTCGGGATTATCTGAATATTTTCTCTCGGGAAAATATTTTTGATGATTCCTGGGATGATTTGGACGAAGTAACTAAAAAGTTTTAAAATATGAAAGCTCCAGGTGATGATGGAATTTTCTATATCCTCATCAAAAAACTCCCAGAGAGTACCTTGTCTTTCTTGACAAAAAATATTTAACAGATTTTAACAGATCCGATTTTCAAGCCGGATAAAAAACTAGCTGAAGCTACTAGCTACCGTCCAATAAGTTTGCTTTCATCAATAAGTAAACTTTTTGAAAAGATGATTTTAATGATCTAATGCTTCACATCAATACCAACTCAATTTTTGCAGATGAGCAGTTTGGATTTCGCAATTTCCATTCGAATACTCATCAATTCTTTTTGTTACTTGATTTCCATTTTCCGTCGATCTTGCTTTCCATACTGAGTACCGATGCCAGAGAGTCAGCTCCCACACCTGGACCCTACCTATCGATCCATGGACGCATGGACCGGGGACCAGTTATTCAAAAAATCACTTGGGAACCCTGGCAGCGTTTTCAAATTGTCAACATCTATGATGCAAGTTCAAATTATAAGTAAATTATGCAAGTTCAAATGATAACTAAATGTTGCAAGTTCAAATGGCAACTAAATGTAAATGTAAAGTTGATGTTGCATTATTGTGAACCACGGAAAACTAAGAATTCAGGGAAAATCTGGAAAGTCATGAAAAGTCTGGTCTAGACAAAAGATTTTCTGGATGGTACATATAATTTTGAAAGATTCCAGATAAGCCTGGAAGGTTGCGAACGCTGTGAAATAAATTCGAACGTTAGGTATCATAATACTCCGAATACCGGAGAGTCCATTAATGCGGATATTAAATTTTTAATTTATTTTTACTTCTAATTGGCATCATAATAAACATGGGGGCATGTTAAAATTTAGGTGAGTCCGGATTTATGGAATAAACGTCCAGATTTCAGTGCATTACGGTAACAGGTCTTTACATCGAGCAGATTATCGAGCTATTCAGTGAAAACACCAAGTAGATAAACCCTTTTATCTGATCATGAACCGACGCGTTCTAATGCATTTGCTAGTAGTTTCAAATGTGCAATTTCTAACGCACGTGGTCGGCATCTGCAACACCGCTGTATGTTTATGCTTCGCAGCATCTGCTTTGTGTACCAATCGTTTGGCTGTAAACAAGAAAGACGATAGCTACTATCCAAAATTTAACCACTTCGCAATGCCATCTAAACATAGCCAAGGGAGGCAATAATACACAAACCCATATCACCACACAGCATACACGTGCGTCTCGACGAACACGCGATGGTAGTAGTAAGCGGGCGAAAAAGTATAGCAACATGACAGTTCTCCACACTTCAAATCTACCATAAAACGTACATACCTTTACACGATTAACTTCGCGTAGCATAACTACTAATATATGCAACAATAATACTGTCACTTTCAGCAAAACACCTATGCAAAAATATCTTCTTCCCAACTTCCATTGATTGCTCGCTTGTCTATTTTTATTCGAGCGATTTGCGAGAATCGATTTGCTGAAGAGTCGCTAAACCACTTTTCTATGAAGCACTCACAGCTCATTTTGAATGCGCTATTGCTCACTGGCACCAGATCGGCTTATATCACAACATTAACGGCTACAGTGTCCCCCCAAGTACCTGTCCGAAGCTGGTGAACGGAAGGAAAAAAATATTAACCTGATTTGGTAATGTGCGGCCACACGTTGCCTGTGCTCGAAATCAGCACCGTCCGTGCCGATTACCATTGGACCTCCACGGGATGCCATCGTACTGTGTACCGTCCGGGTTGGCGCTCAAATCCTCTTCGAACTCCTTTTTCCCCGTTCGCTGCTACTCGGTTGACCAATGTCAGGATTCTGGAGCGCGATTTCGTTCAGGGAAAAATTCTTTCACCACTTTCACTACTGCTCGATCGTTCTCTCACAACATCACACATCCACTGTGTCGTGATGATCGCCGCCCGTGACACCCGCACACCACACTACTTTATTGTACACGTATATCTGCTGCTGCTGCTGCCGCTTTTGACAGCTGTTGGCTATGTTGGCTTTTTGGTGGCAGTGGTGCTAGATTGGGTTTCTTGCTGTAATAATATGGCGATTTGATTAAATTTAGTACTATGAGCATTTTTTTTGTATCGGTAACAATAATGTTGCAAAGAAGTATTAATATTTATAGCAATAATATAATTTATGATGAAGTAACATCAGTTATCACTTTCCAGTTGAAGGTCAACGTTTAGTTTTTCTTGTGGTCTAGTTGCACACTTATTGTAGTACTGTTGTGGCAACTGTTCCATGTTTCATTCGAACAGAAGTTGCTGCATGTGGTTGTGACTATTGAAGATAGAATTCGACAGTGAGCATGCATAAGGGCGAATACGCGATGATCCATTCTCTTCATCGACTTTCTCTTTGCATTGCTACAGCTAAGCGAAACAATTTTCTAGAATTTGTTCAATGCAGAGTAGTAACAGGTTGTATTGGCTATCAAAAGCAACAGCAAACGCACCGAGAAACGTTAAATCTAGCGAGTTATTAACAAAAGAGAAAATCGACGAAGAGAATCAATCATTGCGTATAGGCCCTTATGCATGCTCACTGTCGAATTGTATTATTTGTAGTAGTACAGTTATCATTCAATACTTTATTTTGACAGCTTCATAATCATCCCAACTATCGAATGGTATTAGATTGGGATGACGTTGCGTCCAAACTCCAGTCCTAATTAACGATGACTGTAGTTGTAGTTTAATGACGAGTTGCTTCGTGAGTTGAGAAATATGAGTAACAGTAGATACATATTCAACAGAAAAAATCATTATCTGCAAACCCGGATGGTGTCTGAAATATAACTTGCGGTTGTTTGCTTCGAGCGAATTTAGTTTTTATAGCGACTATGGTTCTGATCTTGAATAAATTAGAAGTAACTTAATTAAACAACCAGTTTTACAGCTGCTCACAAAGCAAACTTTTTAAGGAAAACTTTTACAGTTTGCAGCCAGAAAATGTACAAGTTTTTTTTTTTTGGAAAACAGGAATCTCGTAGGCTTTTTGTTCAATTTTACTAATACTTCTGTCCACGATAAAAAAAAAAATTAAGAAGGAATCATGTGCATCATATTGAACAGAAATTTACACTAATTTTTAGAACTGTGTAGACACTAATAGCGAATTCGTTTATTATTCAGTTCCAACCTGGATCGGGTATCAAGATTGGGTCTGCTTGTTTTCTAGCAAACGTCAGTTTGATCGTTTGTTTTTAAAACCTGGCACGGGTCGAGGTTCGCACTAACATAAAGTTCGGGTTCGCACGGGTTGGAACTGGTTCCAACCCCGATAATAAACGAATTCGCTATAAGTGCCGTTAATGCCGAGTGGTAATTTTCTGCCGAAAATTTATCGATATTAGAGCCAAATTGGTCGAAAGTGGAAAATTGATAGAGGAAATCAGGAGATGCTAGCGCCACGTAACGGCGACGTTCCCACTTATATTTACACAAGTTTCTGGTGGAAGTTGGACGTCTGTTCTTTTTGTTCTTATGTCATATGGGCCGCTTGCATGTGTCGGTCACAGAACACCGGAAGTTACATGCCTTTTCGTGATCCTGGCCATACAAAAGTTGCTGTCTTGAGCGAAGTTGTTCAGGTGACCAAGTCCTTTCGAATGGTGGTCATATTATTTCAAAAATTTCTCACTACGCGGCACTAGTGTTCACATGAGCTTCCTGTATAAGCTGTGTCTCAAAATCTTGGCCTTATAGAAGGTTAATGTCTTCAGCAAAGTTGTGCAGGTGATTATGTCCTTTTGGATGGTAATTATATTAGTTCAGAACTCTCTCACTACGCAGCGCTAGTATGTATGTGAACTTCTTATATAAACTGTATCTCGGGAGCTGTCTTCAGCAAAGTTGTTCAGGTGACCAAGTCCTTTCGGATGGTCATATTATGTCAGAAATCTCTCGCTATACGGCACTAGTGTGCACATGAACTTCCTTTTCCTTAATATGTTATGTCTCGAAAGCTTGCCCATATAAGATGTTGCTGTGCAATGTGAGAACAGGAACTGGAAAAAGGGATGACGTATAGAGGCTGGAAATCAATGCCAGACTACATTTTGGAATCCAAGATGGTGGCCATCGGTTCAAGAAAAACTGTCGAATATCCTACAGTATGGGTATTTTCGGAAAAGGGACGATGTGTAGAGACCGTAAATCGATGCCAGACGTTATTTTGGAATCGAAGATGGTGGCCATCGGATCTAGAAAAACTATCAAATACCTTCAATTAGGATATTTTCTACCTTTTATTTATTTATTTATTGTAATTCAATAGACAGTAGTTGTCTTAATGAATAAAACTTAGATAATACACAAAAAAGCAACAGCCCAACTAACATTTTCAGCTTTGTAAGCCAACTTTTCCAGCGTTGTGCTGTAAAGTAGCTGAAAAGAAGCTGCAGATACAGCTACAAGCAAAAGCTAGCAAAATAGTTTTGGAGAGCGTTTACTCAACTTTCTCACAACCATTCTTCAATTTGTCAGTCGCACTGAATAACATCAGCCAATAAACGCTAATGTCACTTCTATACACACACTAATCAACTTTCCACTTGTAACTGCAAAACAAAGCTAACAAAGTGAATATATTACTCATTTGATAGCTTCTACACAACCAACAACTCTTGCTGAATGACATAAACATCAAAAGTGCTTTTTCAACAACTAAACAACCTGTACTCAGCTTATAAACTGTGTTAGAGCAACTTCGGAAGCATTTTCACAGTCAACTAGGTTTATTTTTAGACGTGTGCAGTTTTATAGCTTTTACTCTGCTCTTTTATAACTAGTCGAGAAAAGTGATTCATGTGCACTATTATAAAGCCTCTACTCAGCGATTTTGTTGTAGAAGGGAATGTTGATTTGTTTACATAAGTTCAAAGTGTTGGCGTAGCACAGTTGGTAGTGTCAAGGTTTGCCAATGAGGTCGTCTCGAGTTTGATTCCAGGTTCCGGTGCAGGGTAAATAATTTCGTGATGAAAACTAATTTCGATTAATTTGATTCCCAGCAAAATAAACTCAATAAATTCCTTCATAAAAAAGCGTAAACAGTATTTAAGCCGGCTTCAAGAGAAAGCTGTGTAGTGATTATTGGACAACCGTGAAAAGGTTGAATAAGCGCCTTTCAAGTTCACACACAACTAAACAGCAGGATAACAGCTGTATAGAAGCGTTAATGGATATGCAATAAGAGCTTCTCCAGACCGTTCCAACAGCCATAAGTAGCTGACTAAGTTCGCCAGATTTGCGTGTATAGAGGTTGAGTAAAGGTTTCCTCATATCGTATAACGTTTGAATACAGCTTGAGACTGTATAAATGAAATGATACAATATCCTTTGAGGAACACGGAAGTTTAGTTGTGAAAGCAATTGAGGGCAGTCCACATCGCTATTTAAAAGTTTCGCTACAAATAAGGCTTGTTGCATTTTTCTTCTGTGTTCCAATATGTCCAGGTCCAATAGCATGCATCGGTCTGCATAAGGTGGTAAATTCATTGAATCGCGTCACGGCAGGTTGCGCAAAGCCAAACTCAAAAATCTTTTCTGAACACGTTTTATTTGGAGATTCCACACTAGCTCATATGGAGACCAGACCACAGATGCATTCTCAAGTATGGGCCGAACTAAAGAGCAGTGAGGGTCTTTGAAATCTCGTGCAATCTTCGAAATAAATCCCAGTTGACGATTCGCCTTAGAGATCGAGGAATAGTGAAGATTGAAGGTCAACTTTGGGTCCAAAAGAACACCAAGATCAGTCATACGTTCTACTCTGCGAAGCGTTACATTGTCAATGCAGTAGTCATAAAGGATTGAACTCTTAGAGCGGTGAAACGTCATCACTGCACACTTTGGAACGCTGATGATGAGCTTATTGCGACGGCACCAATCCACAAACAAATCTAGCAGAGCTTGAAGACGATGAAAATCCTCAATCGAGTGAACTATGACGTAAAGCTTAAGATCATCTGCATAAACGAGCTTGAATTTAACTCCCAACAAAGCTGCTACATCGTTGAAGAATAACGTAAACAAATGTTGACCCAGGTTACATCCCTGAGGTACTCCAGAGGTGCTGGTAAACGTAGAAGAGACAAAAGATCCTAGTCGTACTCGGAGAATTCGTCCAGTCAAGTAGGAATGTAACCACGACCTAAGTTGCTCAGACGCTCCTAGTCGGGAAAGCTTGCATAACAAAACCTTCTGGTCGATTTTGTCGAATGCGGCTTTCAGATTAGTATATATGACGTCGACTTGTGCCTTATCCTCCATCGCGGTGATGCATGTACTGGTGAAATCCAAAAGGTTAGTAGCTACCGATGTACCGGGAATAAATCCATGCTGGTCAGTTGAAATGTAGTTCTTCGAGCGATTCAGGACAAATTCGCTCAAGATGATCTCAAACAGTTTAGACGCTGCCGAAAGACTTGTGATACCTCGATAGTTCTTAATAACCCGTTTATTGCCAGCTTTGAAAACAGGAAACATATACTTCCTTGCTCAAAGGATGCATTAAATATGGCTGCTAAAGGTTCTGCTAAGGCATCTGGACCAGGAGAGAGTAAGGTTTTCAGTCTCCTTACTGCTGAAAGTACCATATCCCGAGTTACTTTGAATGTGCTCAATTCCACTAAGTCACTAGGCGTATCAGAGGCAGCAGATTCAGCTTTAACGTAACTTGTCATATTTTTATCGTTTAGCACTTGTTTAGCAAACATCTCACACGCTTCGCTAAGAGAAGTGCACTCTTCCCGAGCAAAGTCTGAGATCAAATTGAAATCTAAATTTGATGTTGTGATTTCGCTGATAATGATTACTCAGGTTGCTGTCGTATTGGTCGTTTTAACGGTTAAAATATCAAAATTGAGAGCAAAAAAATCTTCCTGTGAAATCACATTGAAAACTATTTCTGCTATCAGTGAGAGCAAACTGAAAACCAAATTTGATATCCATTTTTCCTGTTGATAGCAAAACAAGTATTCAATTTGATGTTATGCTAAGGCAATGAAAACAAACCCGCAACAACATATTTCTGGAGAGTAAATGTATAGCAAAATGAAAACAAAATTAGGTATCAAATTTGTCAATTGCCTAAACTGATATCAAATTATGATTTCAGTTTGATGTTGATATCAAAACTTGATTTCAATTTGCTGTCATTTTGATGCTGTACTTTGCTCGGGTTTCCCATCGAGTAGCATGTTGGACGGTATACTCGCATATTTCCTTTTGCTGTTCACAAAGCTCCCCTTTCGGAAAGGAGACGACGTGTAGACACCGTAAATTGATGCCAGATGGCATTTTGGAATCCAAGATGGCAACCATGGGTTCAAGAAAAACTGTCAAATACCCTACAATATGGGTATTTCCGGAAAGAGGACGACGTGTAGAGGCCAGAAATTGATGCCAGACGCCATTTTGGAATCCAAGATGGCAACCATTGGTTCAAGGAAACCGTCAAATATTCTACAATATGGGTATTTCCGGAAAGGGAACGTTGTGCAGAGGCCGGAAATCGATGCAATTGATCGTTGGTCAAAAAGGAAAAGTGTTCAGATGTCAGATGTGTCTTGTTCAACTGCGATGAAGGACATTTAAAAAAAAAAACGCCTCAAAGATCTTATGTCTCAGAGCATCTGAAAACAATACCGGGATCGAAAGGGGACAAAAAACGGTTCTCGATCATGTTTTTCTCTAACGCAAAAGGGTCTCTGATGATGAAACCGTTGGTTATCAACAATGTTCCGAATCCAAGGGACATTAAAAATTTACAGAAGGCGAATATCTATGTGCATTATCGTAGCAACAAGGCCCGAGAATTATTTGAGGACTCGATAAACGACTGCTTCTCACCACAGTTGGAGGAGTTCTGCGCAGTCAAGAACATTAGCTTCAAGGATTTGCTACTCCTTGATAACGCTCCGTCGCATCCACCCACCATAAGCAATCCCAACATTAAGCTTCTATACATGCCACCAAAGACCACGTCTTTGATTCAGTCCCAGATAAATACCAGAAAGAAAAAAAAAACAAAACAAATTAAAACGTTTAATTGTTTTAAGAATTTTTCACGTTACGTTGCCATCTTGCTCAATGATACGCTATACACAATATGCTGGGTAAGCCTTATTCAGGAAAAATAATGCGATGCAAGATTTTTAGCTCCAGAATACCCTAAAACATCAACTAGAAAAAAATTCATGTTCCTAGTGGATTATAGGCAAACCCCCTTCTCCGTAAACGGTCCAGGTTAATTGTGCAATACTGGTACAGACTGGTATACTGGTCGACTGGGATTGAACCCAGGCCTGCTGGGGTGAGAGTCAATCACACTTACCACTACACCACCAGCGCTCCTTGCATTTATTGTAATGTTCTAAAAAAAATACAAAAAATACTCTATTTTAGAGATCTTAACAGGTGTCCCCTTTAAAAGGAAATTACCCAACCCTTTCCAAAAGTCCTTCCCTGCGTCTACAAAACCTTTAAATCGGCCCTTGCAGTATCTGTAACATTTAGGGGTAACCAAGAAAACTAGTTCATCATATACGCCAACAGCATTCAGTTCCACAGTAAAAATCTATTTTTATAATGATACATTTAGTTTTCAGGATATTCAACTTAGCTGCATAATAATTCCATGCAATCATGCTAATTTCATAGGTACAGTTTTCAAGGGCGATAAACTTCCACTTTCAATGGAAAACATTTGTCTTCGGGCACTTCTTGTCCAACGACTATCGAGACATCTCCTGCAAGCGAAAAATTTAGAGCAGTGAGATACATATTTGTGTGAATTTAAGAAAAGGAAAACCGTTATACCTTGCGGACAAGCACTTAGAGCAACCAACAGATCCATGTCGGCGATGAATTCGATGAAATCTCCTTTCCTAGCTGGACTCGGTTTGCAAAAGTATTGATGAGTGTCCTACGGGTTAGAAATTAAATCTTCAAGCTCAACATTCATTACTTTGCGCTACCTATTTGACCTCACCTTCGTAAATCCCGTACACATGAAAATATTCCACACATCATGCACGTACGACTCATCCAGCCCAAACTCCTGAATAGCTTCCTTCAGATAACTATGACAACTTCCAACACGGTCCTTCCCGGTAATCAGCTTGTACGTGTAATCGTCACATCGTGTCCCAATCACATCGTGCAACGCACCGCCATCCTTATCGATACCATAATTGGCCAACGAATCCATCACAAAGGTAGCCATCGGACGCAAATAAGGAAAACAGCTCCACAAACGGTCGTAAGTTTTGAGATGTGATGCGTGCAGTTGCCGTGTCTTGCCGGAGTAGAAACGTTCGGTTGGGTTGTGCAAATTCCAAAAGTTCAAATCTCCAACTTGGGATCCTTCTATGAGAGAAATTCGACACAGATCACCGGTTTGCATCTTCCATGCCCGAGAGGATTTTTTCGCCACGATCAATTCATGGACAAGAGTTCCGGCCAAAGCGGAAGATCTATTAGCTTGGCACCATTCAGATGAAACGACAGCTGCCGCCGGCTTGTTGTAGCAAATGGTTGGTTCGTAGTCGTCAAATGTTCGCTTCATGATCTCCGCGTTGAAAATGCCACTGCTATTATGGGAACTGTCACTGGCGAAAAAAACGAAATATTGAACACCAAGCCAGTTCTGTTTATGATCGCCTGCCTTATCACATCGTGGGCTATAACGCTATAATATTAAGTATGTGTGAGTCTGATTCAATTGAATATACCACTAGATTTTTTTTGCATTGGCGATTGATCCACCTATTAATGAATGCAATACTAAAAATATTACCGTAAAACGGGATGTGATTGATCTCTGATGTTTATCATTATTTTTCTTCAAGTGCAATGAATCCAAAACTTTAAACCCGTTTATCTCCGTACATAAGACCTTAATCGCGATTGGAGGGGTGATATCAAGCATTTTTTTTTGAGAATGCTCGTATTTCCTTGAGCGCCCTTGGTTGCCTCGATTTTCTGATCATCATGAGTGATAGTTTGAATGATCCGTCTGCTTTACAACACGGCATGAACGTTTTTCGCTGTTTATTGCCTTTTCTTCCAGGGTCGTGAGAAACAAACGTGGGGTAAGGAAAGCTTTCTCCTTCCCGATGATGTTGTTGGTTTGCGTGGGTGACCCTCGGTTGGCGAGAAAAGGGCCTACAAAGCTTTGTTTACAAAAAGCTTGTATGCCGTTTTCACATGTGGCTCTTGATATGTAATACAAACAACTCAGTGCCAACATTTCAAAGGGGCGTAATTGCTTTTGTAAACAATGGCTTAAGCCGTCATTTTCTCGCGAATAAAATCTCACCCCTCCAAAATAAGCATTCCTCTACCTGGTGGTGTCATTATTTTTCATGAGTGAGCTTTTATTCGCGAGAAATCGACGGCTAAAGCCATTGTTTACAAATGCAATTACGCCCCTTTGAAATATTGGAACTGAACTCTCATCTCCGTTGAATATTTGTGCAGTATCCAATTCATTTTGTCGAAATATGCTGGCAAATTGGCTGACATATGCATCAATACTGGTTACGTTATTCGAAAGCTTTTCTCTGGTAATTTTGAGAAAACGGATGTTATGTCGTTGAGGGAACTTTCGTGTGTATCCTCGACTGTGTTTTCCCTCTAATCCCAACTGGCCGGCAGTGTCATTATGGAAGAACTCTCTCTACAATGTCGCATTTAAGGTCATTGTAGACAGCTTTAGTCTCGGTCCATGTGTATTGAGTGGGTGCGATATCCTACGCAAATGTGGAAGCTGCCTTCCTGCACATTCGATTGCCGTCAATGGATGGCAATCGATGTCCGTCGGTGATTGACACTAGATTGCCCTATGTTTGTTCCAGCAGAGTTCACTATCTAAAGTTACTCCTAAAAACTTTACTTCTAAAGATAGTGACAGCTTTACGTCTCCTAGTTTAAGATCAGTGATAGAGGTTTTACGTCTTTTAGTAAAAGGTACAATAGTTGTTTTTGTAGGATTGACATTAAATCCCTCATCTTTGCATTACGATAGTGTGAATTTTAATGCTTTTTGCATTCTGTTAAAAACAACTTTATCGAATTTTCCACGGACTACAATGACAATGTCATCCGCAAACCCAATTATTTCGAATCCTTGATGCTTTAGTTTTAAAAGAAGGTCATCAACAACTAGAGACCACAGAAGGGGAGAAAGAACTCCTCCCTGTCTCACCATGGCCCGGTCTCACCATGTTTTGCTGGTATGCCGCCTCTGATTTATTATTTTGGAATTCCTTGGACCTTTTCTCTAACGCTGCGTATTTCATTCCGTGCTTCACCGGCAATTTCCTTCCGTAGTTCGTCCTTGGTCGGTTCTGACATGATTCCGCCTTTTCGGATTTTTCTTAAATAAAACAGCAAAAAAGGTTATTTTCCATTTACTTCCACGTAATAAATTTTTGTATCCATGACAGATACGTATTTCGACTACAATGTGCAGTCTTCATCAGTGTCATTCCCACTAAAGAACAAAATCTACCCCCCTAAAAATGTCAAGATCACAGGTAAAAAAATGAAACTACAATGTGTAGAATCGGAACCTACCTAACTAAAAAACCAAAGATTTAAGTAAACTAAAATCTCTAATAAGGAAAATTCCTCTTCCTGGTTGGTTTCATGTCCACCATCTGTCATATCCCAAGTAACAATTTTGGTTTTTATGAGGGTTCTGTTGACCATGATTTAGACTTGTAGAATGCTTTTAACCCGCGATAGAACCAGCAATGTTACTTGGGGTCTGTATTGCCATGGTCATCTGGGAACTGAGAACATCGAAGAGTAACGTCCAACGTGCCTAGGCAAGAAATAGGCTGACAACGTTCAAGAAGCAGAAGAAGCCGAAACGGAGCCAGAAACAGGCCACATTCGTCAAACTGAAGGCTCGGAAGCTATATGATAGCCTGCTGTGAGGAAAATTGGCGTGTCATGGACGATGAAACATACGTGAAATTTGACTATAAGATGCTTCCGGGAGACCACTACACAGTCAGTGATGGTCAGGATGTTGACAATGCCCATGTCAATTTATAACGAAAAATTTGTTTGAAAGCCATCCCGCATAAACGTGAACCATAACTTGACCTTACCGAAAATGGTTAAAAATTGTGTATAATCCCTGCTAAACTTTAACTGAAATGGTTATAGAACTTTACATGAACGTTTGAGTGATAAAGTTTTAACCTTATGTATTACGGTTTTTTGGAAGTGAACCTTACAAATAATGGGTTGTTAAGAACCATTACCATTCAAAATCCTTGTTTTCTCCATACATTTTCGGAAATAAAACTATATTAGAACCTTTTAACATATGGTTTGAGAACTTTAATGGTAATGGTTATGGTAGTCAGTAAAGTCCATGGATGGTTTTGTAACATCGATCAACTTTATGTGGAATATATCGCGAATAGGTTGCCTGTAAATTAATAACTATCAATTCGCGATATATTCCACGTAAAGTTAACCGAAAATATGGTTTGCCAAGCGCTATGTGAGTGTAACAAGTTTTTTTTTCCTTGATTTGTTTTCCGTCGATCTTGTTTTCCGTGCTGAGCACCAATGCTACCGACGCCAGTGAGGCTGCTCCCACACCTGGACCCTACCTATCGACCCATCAACTCATGAACCGGGGACCAACGGCCTTACTTCCCTTCCGAAGGAAAGCGTGATCAGAGATGTTATGCCTCAGAACATCCCGGCGGCGCCGACTGGGATTGAACCCAGGCCTGCTGGGGTGAGAGGTAATCACGCTTACCACTACACCACCGGCGCCGCTTGAGTGTGGTAAGTTGTCAAAGCCACTTGTGACCAGCGTTGCCAGATTGTTTTAAAGCTTATCGGTATCAAAGGTATTAAAAACATCTGTGTTTATCGGTATTTACTATTTAATTAATCTTATATTTTTGCCGTTTTTGAAAGCGAAAATTTTAACAATGGTGATGACTGGGATTTGAGGGGAATTGCTTTGTTTAACTTAACGGCTTTCTCAGTCTTAAAACAGTCTTTATTTTTGAATTTAATTATTAAAATTATCGTTGTCCAACGTAAATTTTGTGGTGAACAAAATTGTGAGAAAGTAGTTTTTCAAATATATATCATTAAATAAAACCAAAATATGGAAAATCAGCCACAACAACGACTAAACTATAAGCAGATTATATCGTAGTCGTTGCAGTGTTTTAAGACCGAGAAAGCCGTTAATCAAAGCAAAACTTTAGCTTTTGTACAATGAATTAGCTTCTGAACGAAGCCGAAAAAACATCCAGCGAAAGACGAAAGAAGCTCTCCTGGATGAAGTTCGAGGAAAGTTCTAAGTAAAGTTGGAAAAACATCCGGGAGACTTCCAAGACACGAATTGAGAATCTTGCGGCGAAAATTTAAATAAACTATCGGAAAAAAAAGAATGTCACATCTAAAGGAAGCCAGAAAGTTTCGGAAACCGGAAGTAAATTTTCAGAAGTAGCCATTTCCAGGGAAAGCCAGAAGAAGTTCGGAAAAACCTTCCAATAGAAGTCGAACAAAAAAAAATCCTTTGGCTTATGGTCAAACTTCCAGAAGAAGACGAAAGAAATTTCTGGGAGAATTAATTGAACTTCCTGGAGAAGACGAAAGAAACATCCTGGAAACGCAGGTAGAAACTTCCTAAGGTAGATTGGAAGAAACATCTGAAGAAAGTCGGAAGCCAGAGCGCTTACAGAACAGTCGAAAGAAACAAGGCCATAATTCCGAAAGAAATAGATTCCTGGAGGATGTTCTAATGATCCAGAAAATTTTCCTGATATTCATAAAACATCCCTGAAAACTCCGATATTTTCCTGAAGTTTTCGGAACGTTTCTGAAATGCACTCAGGAATATTCCATAATTCCTCGAAAGTCCTTAAAAGTTCTTGTAATTTTCCTGAAATTAGGGGCTGTTTAGGAGTTCTCTGGTCATCCTCGAAGTGCTCGGAACTTCCCTGATTATAAAAAAGACTACCGGAATGTCTCTAATCATCTTTGAAGGTCTCTGGACTATCTTGAAGATAACGAAATCTCTTAAGTGCTCTCACAATTTTCTTGAATTTATTGTAACATCAGCATTAAAGTCCTCTGATCGTCCCGATTTTTTTTTTAATTTTTAAAAGTTATCGACACTGCCATTAAAGAGCATAGAACTTCTCATAAAATGTTCTCACAATGTCTTAATGTTCATGTAACTTCCCTTACGTTTCTACTAAATTGCATGAGCCCCTCAGGACATTGCTGAAGATTTCAGAAATTGCCTGAGTCTCTCGGAACTCCTTTATAGTTTCAGCAATTTCATTAATAAATTGATCCGTCCTGATGTTGTCTGAGCTTCACTAAAGTTCATGAAAACCATTAAATTTCCCTGAAGATCTTTGGACTTGTGAAGTTTCAAAAATATGTATGATGTTTCCTCAAGTTCACTGGACTTCGCTGGACTTTTCCGAAATTCCCGGGTTTTCAAATTTTACTTCTGTTAATGAAACTGTCTTTAATTTATCGAAACTTACACAAAAGTCTGGGCTTTTCTGAAGTTTCAGAACTTTTTGAATATGCCTGCAACTAGTGTGGATTC